CTTATTTATTTTTCGTATCGTGTTCGTGTTAACTCATATAATCTGTGAATAAAAAATTTAATGTTTAATTTTATGTCTAAAATTTTATTATCGCTTAATTAAATATATGCTCATACTTTTTCTATGAACTAAATATTAACTTAATAAATATAGTAATAAAAATGAGTAAAAATATTTTTTTTGTACAAGAATTAGATTTTCACTTGATAAAATATAATAAAAAATTAGTATTTTATTTTTATAATACTATTTAAACGTGTTAATCGTGTCAATTTCGTATTGTTCGTATTTGACACTAACACAACTCATTTATTATTCATGTTAGCGGGTCGTGTTATGTATGAGTGTGTGCAGAGAAATGGTCAATCCCAACCCGTAAATTTCATATTGATTTCGAATCATATTTTCGTGTTGTGTCAAATATTGCTACCCCTACTCTCTCTCCCCTTCTCCTCTCTTCCCCCCCCCCCCCCCTCACCCATACCCCATCCACCACCACAAAAAATAATGCATCTCTGTAATATAATTTTTGAAAATCGTGGAAAACTCACATACATTTGGCCCACAAGAGAATTAGTCAATGGACGAAGTGTAGCCCAAACAACGCAATGAAACAGAGTGAGGCGTTTTACTTCTCGTTACAAACAAGAATTTGTGCACAAAGTAAAATGATATTTTATTACCGGTTGGGGTTGAATACTTGTTGCTAAATCATACGTTGTTTGGATTATTGTATATGGTACCGAAAAACATTACAATTAATTGTTATGGCAACTCAGAATATGATTAATTACCTGTAAATTACGCGTATCCTATTAATTAGAACGCTTCTTCCATCTTCATAGAAACTCTAATGAAATTAGAGTAAAATTACGTGCACAATATCTACATAGGGTTGCAGGATTACGCATGAAGGTAGATAAAAGTATAAAACTGACATCAAAAATCATTCCAAACTCCAAATAATTAATCTTACCCAAAAAATATCTCCAAATTTATACTACTTTAAAAAATAAGCATATTTGAAAAACATTTTTTTTTTCACTTTTATCCTCCAAAATCACAACTATCTCATTTTTATCCCTTTAAAGCCAAAATAAACTTAAGCCTGCTCATGTTCCAAAAAAAAGAAACCTACACCTCTCAATCTTCTCTCTCTCCTATCATTTCATCTTCATCTTCCCCACTCAAAATAAACCTCTTTCTCTCTCTTATTTACCTCTTCCAGAAACCCTGGGTGTTTCTCTCTTCTCTCCCTATCTTTCTCGCTACTCTCAACATGCAATACTCCACGCATTTAATTCTCGCTGCATCTTTACTTTTTATTTCCCTCAACATTAAAGCCAAAATAAACCTAAGCCTATCATGTTCTTAAAAAAAAAAAAACCTACGCCTCTCAATCTTCTCTCTCCCCTATCATTTCATCTTCATCTTCCCCCACTCCAAATAAACCTCTTTCTCTCTCTTATTTACTTCTTCCAGAAACCCTAGATGTTTCCTTCTTTCTTCCTATCTTTCTCTGCTATTCTCGGCATGTGTTACTCTACGCATTTAATTCTCTTTGCATCTCTATTTTTTATGGTATTGTTCTTCCATTGATGAACTTTAGCTACAACTATGTTGGAAGAAGGAGCAATCTCAACCTGGTGGGTTGGGTGGTGGCTAAACAGGGGGTGAAGGGTGGTGGGTTTTTGGTGGTGGCAATGGTGGTTGGGTGAAAGGGGTTTTCATTGATTTGATTGATTTGGGTGGAGATGTATTTGTGATTAAAAAAATTAATCAAAAAAATCAAAAAAAATTATGAAAACGCTATTATAATACCAAACAATTTTTTATTTTTATTTTTTTAATTTTTTAAATATAAACGACTACCTGTTTTATATTTTTAATTTTTCCCCAAAAAAAACAAAAACTTGTTCTATGTTTTTTTTTTAAAAAAAAACATTACCAAAGCACCTTAAGTCATTCGGCAGCATTTCAAATAATAGAATTACACTTCAGACCCCTGAACTATACTCTATTTCACATTGTCTTCCAAAAACAATTCATTTTTTCACATTACATCCTAAACTATTTGTTTTAGTTTCAAATTGCTATAATCATTGATTTCTCTCCAATTTTTACGAAAAAATTAGCACAAAAATAGAATCTCGCACAGCTAAAGAGAGAAAATACCACTTCTCCTAATGCTCAGAAAGTTTATTTTGGCCATGTTTAAGGTGCAGTGCGAGAGAGAGATAGATATAATACAAAATGAGGGGTATAGTTCAACGAACACAAGTATAAAATACCATTTAAATATTTTTTTAAGTCATCCCGAATATTACCTTTTACCCTATGTCTCAACATGATTCGAAAGAGACACCCTATAAAAAGGTCTGAAAAATTGCTGTAATTACTTATTATACTACTATTAGTCACAAATAGTATGAGACTGTGAAGGCTCGTTCTTTGGTATTTTTTTTTTAATAGTCAGGATTGTACGGATCAACTTATCTTTAAAAATTAGGATAAAAATCTTGTATCTGCCCTTACTTACCAGGTAAACTGAAAAAAAATCATTTCCCCGCTGATGTTTCCTGAAGGAACAGCATGAAGACAAAACTCGAACATAAATCATGCAGTTGGAGGAACTTCCTGACCCTTGCTTTACAGACAAATGCAGATGGATTTCCATGTGATATGGAGGCACGAGCATACTATTACCTTTCCAATCCTATTCTACTACTTGCTTGTATTGAGCACATGGTATTCAGGAAGGGCTGGTCAGGTCTTCATTGAAGTGTCACAATAGAAAATCTTCCTAGTCAATTTACTCATTCAGTTGATTTTGATCTGTCAAAAGTTTATGACAAAAGTTACAAAAAGAGCCAGCCTGTTACAAAGACAATATATCGGGAAATCACATGGCCATCTGAGAAAGTTTCAAACCGGAAAAATATATTTGACTGCTTCAACTATGACCCTGGTCTCAATCTGATTTCTCAACCCTTTGAGGTTCTAACATTGACCCTCAATTACTTGAATGGGTTTTCCTTTGCTAAAAAATCAAACATTTGTCATATATATGATCTTATACAAAAAAATGTCAACACCCCTGACCTTTTGGAGGTGTTGTGTGAGAAATATAATAGTTGAAGAGACATTGTGAAAGAGGTTGTAAACTCCAAGGGATAAACTCAAGTAATAACAGAAATTAGTTGTAAACCCAGACATTTTAACTTCGAACATTGGCACTTTGAGGCTAGACTATAAGATATTTATCCGTCATGAATATCGTAGTCTCTACATGGATGACCTGTCTTTGATCAAACCGGAGAAGAGATTAGTCGAGACACATGTAAAATGGCCTAAACACGCCCAACTTTTAAACCAAAGGTTAAATGATAATTTTTGTAAAGAAAAAAAAATCATTTGGTTCTAGGACTCACATATTGAACATAAACATGTGACAACAATAAGGACAAAATTGGGAACAGAACTCAAAATGATTTGAATTGGGAGCAAGAGTGCAATTTAAAACTTACAACTGACATGTTAGCGGTAACTTTTCAACTTTGTCCAAAAAAAAATTAATGAAGCCAAGGACTTTTGGCCTTCCAACTATGTTTTGCACCTCAAAAGACCAAACCAGCATGAATAGATAAATCCAAAGCAGATAAAGTAAAGAAAAGACAGAAGAGAAATAATAACGTAAAGAAGATCCAATGTTACAAAAGTAACGGCCATTGTTTTCAAAGATGGAAGCCCTACTCCAGTTTTTCTGCACCTTTAAATCATTGCAACTCCCCCACCCAACCAGCAAACCCTCTTTCCACTCCCCACACTAAAAAAAAAAAAATCAAAGTCACACACACACACACACACATATATATGTCCGTATATATGTGTATATAAATCTTTTAATGTATTCACATATAAGGTAAGATTTCCATACCGAAGTAGGTACAATAGCAAAATTTATTGTTTTTCTAGGTTAAGTTACATTAAGCTATAACTCCAACTCCGACTCTTAATTTGTTGTTACTTTGGTATTAATTTTTTTTTTGGGTGATGTAGTTTTACCCATTTACACACACACACACACAATGTTGTACATACCAAATTCTCATCCCAAAATGATGTGATATATTTTTCACCATTAGGTAATAGTGTTCTATTAATATTCAATGATAGTGATTGTGTTATATTGTTTGGGATTGAAAATTTGGTAAACATAACCCTAAGGGATAGTTCAGGTGGTAATATGTATGATTTATAAATTCAGATGTTTTCAGTTCGAATTTTGACAAACTTTTAGATCTAGGTCATGAGGAATTTATTTTTTATGAATACCCTAGTACAGGGGTGAATGACTTATTTTTGACTGGACTGAAGGGGAATTAGTCGAAGTGCACGTAAGCTGGCCGGACATCCCTAACCGTTGAATATAAAAAAATGGTAAACATAACTTTATTGCATATATATATATATATATATATATATATATTTATTTATTTATTTATTTATTTATTGATCATTCCATACATAGCATAATTTATATTGGTCAGATTTCATGTAGACATTCTTACTATAGTCTCTCTCGTTCATTCAATTCATTAGCTTTCTCTGGTCGACAGCCTCATTTGTCCTCCCGTTTCCTTTGATTCTATAGCTGGTTTAACTCAGACAGACCCATTTGTTTCTACCCTCTATGAGTTCTACATCTATCCTATCTTTTCACCCTCTCTAATTCATCTGTACCATTTTTTGTCTTCCCATCCTTCATTTTCTATTCACTAGTCTGTTTTTGTACTGCTTTTATCTGCATATCTTTCACTATAGTCCCTTTATTTTGCTGAAGTCTTTTCTTCCTCAGGCTGTGACCCCTCTCTCTCTCTCTCTCTCTCATATGTTTTGTGTTTCGGTCTCATACTGTCTGATTCAGTAGAAGAAAATAGGAATATAGTTTCCACTCCAGAAATACAAGTACTTTATGATCATATGATCAGTAGTTCACAATGACACTGGTGCAAAAGTTGCAAAATCAGCTACCACCACTAGTTGAGCCACCGCCGGTGGTGGTGGAGCCAAGCCACTCCACTCGCCGATCAATCGAGACACTGGTGGTTGTGGTGGCAGTGATCATAATAGTTGGTGTTATTGCAGGGATCATTGCTCGGGTATGCGGGGGACGACATTTTGGGGGCACCGGAGAGAATGACATAGAAGGATGGGTAGAAAGGAAGTGTAGGAGCTGCATTGACGGTGGAGTTCCGGCACCGCCGCCACCAGCAGAACCGAAGCCAACAACAGAAGCAGAAAAGAAATGAGGGTAGATGGCGATACATATAGGAGATTATTAGGTGTTGCAAAGTAGGATCATTAAACAGAATGCAAAACATGGTGATAGCTTCAGCAATTAGCAGTCAGGTTTGAGTCGAATAGTCCGAATTCTTGAACTGAAGTTTTTGGATCGGGTTTGAGTCGAATAGTCCGAATTCTTCTGCGAAGTTTTTGGGTTGGGTTTGAATCGACTAATTCGAATTCTTAAGCTGAAGTTTTTGGGTCGGGTTTGAGTCGTCAAGATTCGAAATTCTAACACTTGATTTGATTGTCATCAGAAACAGGAAAGTTGGGAGGATTGCAGCCTCATGTTATAACATTAGTGATTTCAATGGAGTCTAACAGTATTATTGTAGAATGCCACTATACATTTCTTGCTTTCTTTGTTTAATTACAAATGAACTCATATTATTTTTCTGTGCCTACTCTTTACAGCTATTATGATTTATTAGGATTATTGACGTAGTAAAGTTTACGCAATAACAAAGCACACATACGCGATTGTTTTGTATATTTGAGTGGCTACTTCATCTATTCTCAAGCAATTTCGGGTTAAATGCTCTACTACACGGTGCTAGAGTTAGGCCTTGGGTGGTTTGAATCTCTCACCCATTTGAATTCAGTTCGGCTTTTCTGTTTGTTCTGGTTAAGCTCCAGAACTTCAAGCATGTGTATTAGGGATCTTCTCCAGTTTAAGCACAATACTTCCCTTTGTGGGAAAAATTCTCATCAAAATATTCATTTTCCTTTGTCATTTCTCTTCATAAACGATACTAATTTCCAAAAAAATATCAAAAGAATTTGTCTTTGAGGAAGCACTAATATGTTGTACGATCTTAATTTACAAATCAATCCGTTTCTTTTCTCCAAATACTTTTGTTTTTTGCAAGTTGTAACGTCTCTCTTTTGTTACTGATTCATTAGTACGTTGAACCGGTAGTTCAAGAGGTAGCAAAAAAGAGTTGTAAATTCAGATGTTTTAGGTTCAAATTTTGACAAATTTTTAGGGTTAAGTTAGTAGAGATTTATCCCTCATAAACATCTTAATCTTAACGTGAATGACCTGTCTTTAACAGGGCAGAGGAGAGGATTAGACAAATTATGCGTAACCTGATCCAAACATGTTGAAAAAAAAAAAATTTGTAGTGACTAGCCATTGTCCATAATCGACTTTTTTAACGGCATAACCGGGTACAAAAGCCGTTATGCTGCCCATTACCTTTAAAGGGAGAAATTTTTTTGTAGGTTTAACATATCGTTTATTGTACATTCAAAATAAATAACTATCACATATCATATTATCAAAATTATATCAGAATTTCTGTTTTGGCGCTCTCTCATTGGGGGTGCACACTACACTTATAAGCAAGAGTTTTAATCGAGACGAATTATTTGTACTCAATTCGGATAAGACTCAACTTGAGCTTAATTCGTGTTCTAAACGAGATGAATTTGAATAATTTTTTAGACTTATTTAAAGAAACGAGTCTAAAAAGGCTAAATTCAAACTCGCAAAACTCGATTTGTTTTCATTTATATGTAAAGTAGTCGAGCAATTCGGACTTTGATCGAGCTCAGACTTGATTCATTTTTTAAACAAGTAGAGATTGAACAATTTTTTATGTTTGTTTAGAAAAACGAGCTTGACAGGATCCAGTTTAAGCTCACAAAATTCGGCTCAATTAACGCCCCTAATTAATAGCGATGATATTACTGAATCAATAATATTGATATTTCACAAAAATTATTTATAGGAGTCCTCAAAACTTAAAAACAGTTAGAAAGTTGAATTAAACTACTAATCATATGGAGATAACTAAGAATGAAAAATTGCGACAGAAGCAATTGAAATCAAATTACATGACGTTTAGAGTTTAACTAAAAAAATCGACGAAAATCGAATTAGGATTTTATTTAATAAATTACAAATATTCTAAATCTTCCATAAAGCGAGAAAAAGCTAATTTCAACGCCTAGGATTTAGATTCCCTCTATTATCCCTTATCTTCAATTTTTCTCAATATAATGTTAGATGAATAACATTATGTAAGATTTTAAATTTTAATAGATAAGATGTTTCCTCATTTTTATTGTTGGTGGAGTGTTAACCATTATTAAGGAATTTTCTCATAAGGAAAAAATCTTATTCATTGAAATTCAAATCTTACACGTGCCACTCTTCTAACACTGTATTAAGGGGAATTGAAGGGAAGAGATAATAGAGGGAATTTGAATCCCAAAGCGTAAACGGTAGAATTAGATGAAAAATCATGATAAGCCTAGAGTGAACGGTGTTTTCCCGTATTTATTTGCTATTCATCTCAGAGTGATCCGCAATGATGAAAGCATTGTATAGGCCCTGCATTCAATTACATGTTCATGTTCAAAAAAAAAAAAAAAATCAGTTAGATGTTGTTTAAAACTGTTTTTAAAAGAAAAATGACAACCATTTTAAGATGATTACATTCAAACTGTACCTCAATTTTATATACATTATTTGTCTGTACATTTAGAGAGCGCTGACAGGGAGAGGGAGGGAGGAAGGGCGAGGAGAGAGATCAAATTATTCATTGTGCTCTTCTTTGTTGAAGCATTATCCTCTTTTAAGAGGAGTCGGTGGACGACAACATTGCTTAACCAATAATACAATTTCATGATCCACTCAACCATTAGAACTCAGATACAATCTAAGCACAATGTATAATTACACTCTCCACATTCGAATATGGGACACTCAATATCAATATCAGTATGAACAAAGATAACTCTAACATAAGAATGACCACAACTGCAATACGAGAACCTCTTCCTTGCCTTTCGTACAAATGCCAGAGAGTGTGGATGACAATTAACTTCAATGGTACCTCCATACTTGACGTTTGAATAGTAGTCTTTAATGCAGAAAAGATGAAACGATTGATCGCAATCACTACAATAATAGAGCCAATAGCTGGGATTCATTTCTCTCTCACATATTTCACAGTGAAACTCATCAACATGCTCACTAAATGGAGGATAACACAGGATTAGGGGATGTTTGTCCAATCTATGCCTGATGGTACCTGGGAGTAGAGCACTGTTGTGAGATATTTTGAACTTGCAATCATCACATTTAAATCCGCTTGTAGAGAAGCTGAAACCACTTCCATTGCAGAGATCTTTTGAACCTTTCATTTGAACCAATGGATTCTTGTGAGCTTGATGTGCAATCGAAGTAGGTAGGAAAGCACATTTGACATCAAGGATGAATTTACATGTTTCACAGTTGTAGTAAAATCCATTTGTCCATACCCAGCAAGCATCGCACAAGAAGGTCTTGTAGAATTTCATAACCTGACAAAGTACCATTGGGTGTTCATGGTGAATTGGGTGCCGCAATTCCCGTGGTAAGTTGACACAACTTAAATGGAGAAAATAGTTGCATTGACTACAACAGTAAAATGGAAATGATATTGGTTGCACGCAACCATCACATAACGTAATCTCATCTTTGATATCATCGTCCTTTTGCACATCAAAAAGGATTAGTGGATGCTCATGACTCCAATGGATGAGCTCTGCCTCTCTCTCAATATCTTCAAGATTGATTTGTTTAGCAAATGTCTAAACAGTTCTAAGGAACCATTAGTCATCGGTAAGTGTAACAGATTAGGGTCGGTTGATTTATCAACTTCATTCTCATTACTACAAAATTTCAAAACCACAAATTTACATGACATTAAGAAAGATAAATAAAATTCTTCTAACAAAAAAACCCGTGTTCCCTTTATTGAAATAAAGACAAAAGTTTTCATTCGAGATTTCCTGATAATCAACTTAGAGAAATCCTCTATTTCATATACCAGAAAAAATTAATGATCCATCGAGGACATAATTTATCTCTAATAATAGTTATCAATCTATTTTCTTCTATTTATACCTATTCCAGGCCAACGATTCAAGAATCCCTTAACCTAAATCAAGGAACTATGAGTAATGCTATTTAGACCTAAAAATTTAATCTAATTTGTTTGCCTAATCTTGTAATTTTATTGTAACCATTGAATTAATATCAAGTTCTAATAGTTGATGAGACTTTAATCAATCCAATATATAGTTGTAATGAAATAGATCAGAAGATTAAATCCAAAAATAATATTGCTCTAAGAAAAGAGTAATACTATTTAGTTTTAAAAATTTAACATAATTTGTTGATCTATTGATGTAATTTTATTGTAACCATTAAATTAATATCAAATTTCAATATTTGATAGGCTACAACAAATATTTTAATATAAAAGATAAAATGAATAAACTCACCTCAAAGTATCTGGAGTTGTAATTAAACATTCCACGTGGAAAAAATATCTACACGGAGCACAACAATAAGTCCAGTGGACGGTGGAAATGGAGAGTCCGCAAATACCACAATACTGTTCAAAATTGGTTAACGTAGAATACTGATAGACGAGAGTGAGAGGGTGACGGTGATAACCACGGTTGATAGTTTTAGGTAACGAAAGACAACTCTTATGGACCACGAATTGACAAGTCAAACATACATATGACATATCTTTACTTTCCATGCGGCAAACATCACAAAAGAAAGAGGTTGGCCTAAATATGAGGGCTAAAGGGTGCTCATGACCTTCATTTGTAACCACGCGTTCTTCTGCTAGGTAACATGACATGCAGATAGTAAAGTCGCAAGGAAGACACCAGTAGCTGAATCGATTTCCACTTGCTCTACAGATATCACAAATATACTTATCATCATAATGGAGGGTTAGAAGGTGTTTGGAGTGTAGGGAGTTTTTAACCTCCCGAGGGAGTTCTGCACAACTTTTGTGTAGAAAGTAAGAACACTCTCCACAATTATATGCAGAGTCCAAGATCAATTTCTCGCATGCATAACAGAAACATTCGTCACCTTCACCCTCTTTTTGCACTTCTTTGAGGATCAATGGATGCTCATGACTGAAATGTTGAAGCTCCATCTGTATGTCTTGGTGGGAAAGATATCACGAGGTGGCGGGAGGGAGCTAGGTAGGTTTTCGACTCTGTGACAACAAAATTGTATATCTGATACGAATTCAATGATATATACAAATATATATACTTTCTAACACAAATGCGACTAAAAGGCCATATTTTTTCATCAAATCAATTAGTTTGGTAAGAAAAATCTCACAAAAGACCATAAAATCGATGAAACTCACCGATGAATACCGGTACTATTTTCTCTCTTCCGCAGCGGCACTAATCCCTCAAACGGGCATTTCGAAGCCTCAATTTTGTTCACAAGAAATCACAGTCGACTTAGCCGTGGAGTTTACAGACGAGGAAGGTGGTTTCCTCCACAATATTTTCTTCCCTCTAGTTGCTCAGCTTCAGCTTTTCGGGGGCGAACAATGGGGGAGACGAAGAGAGAGAAAAAGCGGGAGAGAGAGGACACTAATAATGCAACAAATAATGCACTTCTGGAAAACACCATTACAGATAAGGGCTATGGGTATGAAATGATACGCTGCCACGTGCCCAAATTTGAGTGAAGAGTTGGACGTGGGGACAACCTATCCGTCTATACAGTGCTGCTCAATAATTGCTTTGTAAAAAAGATGTGGCTCTGGGAAAACAGAACTTGATTACGGCACTCAACTAATAGTTTTGGTATCGGACTTTTGATTTTTATCATTTTAATATTTATTTTTATAATTTTTATGAATTATTTTATAATTAAAAAATTTATTATTTTTTGAATAATTTATTATCACTGTTGTGTGTGTGTTTGTGATAATTATTTTTACTATTTTTTCTTTAATACAAAAAAATTATCACATTTATAAGTATATTTATTATATTTATGAGTATTTTTATTATATTTATTAATATTTTTATCACTTTTATAGTATTTATTTTTATTAAATTTTTGAATATCACAACAGTAATAAAAAAATTTATAAATATAATAAAAAGAGGTGTCGTTCCGTACCATGTCCACTCCAGGAAAACATGTCTAAGTTGGGCAACTGAAATAAAAAATCTTTTTATGTTTTTTCTCTCATTTGTTCGATTACTCTTTTCAAAAAAATTTATGTATTTTGTTTATTATATTTTAAATACAATTGTAATTTGTTCACTCTTACTAATTATATATTCTCTAATAGTATCAGATATTTATTAGTTAAATGTTAGGTGTATCGACTCAAGGCCATTACTTGCACCTAAATTTCTCTCTTTACCTATCAGTCCAACTTCTTTTGTTACTGCTAGTTTCAATTTTTGTGTACAAAGAGTAAGTATTCAATGTAACGGTTGATGAAATAAAGACTAACATCACACATCATAGTTGCATCATATTCATAAAATTCATAACACGTAGAATTAAAATTATAACCTTAATCATTTCGTTAATTTAAATCTTATGAAACACAGATATTTCGTCAAAATCGACGTATCTGTATTGAATATCACATCAGATATGATATTTATCAAATACGTATCCGATAATCAATAAAATATATAGATACACATTATACTTTGTGGATACTTCTGCACATGGAGCAAGATGTAAAATTTTTAATGTTGATTTATACTATCTTCTTTCGAGTTCACATACAATACAAAACATCAACAAAATTTTATTTTATTTTGAAGACACGAGTATTTTTTAAGTATTATCTACAATACATGTTAAAAGAGTACAAAAAATTGAGTTAGTTACACTATAATATTAAAAACAAATATTTATTAACAAACCATCTAGTTAAATGTTGGTTTTAATTCTTTTAATTGGTCATGTTAAGTTATGAATATATCTTGATGAGACGATATTACATATTTTTTAATATAAAAATTACTAATTTTACTTATTATTGTTAAATAATTATTTAGAATTATAAATTTTAATTTATTAAATAATAATAAAATATAAAATATATTTTATTATAAACATATCCTAATAATATCCGCATCCTATTTTTTAAAAATTTATCATTTCGTGGTATTAGTTTTGTATTATATTTAAATTGATATCCGTCCTTCCCACATTAAATCACAATTACAAATTCTGGTAGACAAAGAAAGTGACATCTAGATGTTCATATCTACGTCGGAAAGAGGATTCAGACCCAAGACACTGCACCTAGAAGAATTAGAAGTGAAAATTGAAGGTGAGTGTCCTATATGCAGTTGTTTGAAGATAAGTCTTGCAAGAAAATTTATTTGATTATAAGTTTATTTTTTGTCAAGATTATTATTAAACCCTTATTTTTTGTCAAATATCAAACGGCGTCAGAGAAGCCGTTTCTAAGGGAGACGGAGAACCCTCAATTCTCGGCACTCAAAAATCGAAACTTCCCTCATTCATTATATCCTACAATTCTAGGCAGAAAATCATCAAATCTCTTTGTGTTCCTTCCTGCGAAAATCCCTAACCGTCCTTACCCATACTGCCTCAATTCAAAATTCAAAGAGATTATAAAAAATAAGAGCAAAAATAATTTTACTCTTCAAGTTCCATTGTCGAAGTTACATAAGAGAGATTTTTCGGCATTCAAAACATCTTCACTAACATTGGGATTCTTAAAAATCTGAAAGGTATGTGGTTTTACATGTTATTTGATGTATGTTTTAGGGTTTGACAACAAAATTTACAAATGTATATCATTCAACTTGTCAACCAAATTTTTTTTTTTCACAATATAAGTGTGATTCCGTGTTACTAATAAATTGTGATTCCTTGATTAGTATTTTGATTTTGATTTTATTTTTGGATTTGTAGTACATTCGAAAATTATTGATGATATTTTGTGTGGAAACTCTCATGCTACTGTGAGAGTACTTTCAAAAAATGTATCTCATAATGTTGGTTTTTTTAATGTTCTTGTTTTGTGTTGAGTGTTCTAATTCAATCATTGACAGTGTGTTATTGTTAGGAATTTTTTTTAATTTTCAATTTTTGAATTTTTTTTACTTTAAATTTTCAATCGATGTTACTGTGAACACAATATGGCATGGTGGGTGCTAATGTTCATGTTACTGTTACTAAATTAATGTTTTATTTAGTTACATGTGAACATTTTTGATTGCTTTCTGTTTTGTTCAATACATTCGAAACTCATTGGTTCAAAGTAACATTAAAATGGTCATGTTACTATGTAATAACTAACAAATTCATTTCATATTTCCATCGTATGGATGTGTTTGGGCACTTTAGATGTTACTGAAGATATCTTACTGATCCAAACCTTTTTGGTTTTTACTTTTATTGCACCATATGTTGTTTACTAAGAGTTCATGGGTTGATGTTTGATTTTAAATGTAAATTGGGAGAGAACAAATTTTATTCAACTCATGAAAAATAATGT